CATTGAAAGGGACTTTTGTGATGCACTCATAACCGCTAAGAATGAGGCCCTCAGAGAGGGTAAAGAGTCGGCCCCTTATCTCACCGATGAAAACCTAGCGATGACTATATTTGATCTGTTTTTCGCCGGAACCGATACATCCCAACAGACATTTCAATGGTTACTCATTTTGTTGACATACTATCCGGAAATGCAACGAAAGTTGAGACAAGAGATTGAGACACAAATCGGAGACCGAATGCCAACACATGAGGACAGGAATCGATGCCATTATGTCATGGCTTTCATTACGGAAACACTGAGGTTCAGGAATATAATTCCTCAGGGAGTCCCTCACAGGGCTATTGTTAGGACTACTATCGGTAAATTAATTTAACAAAATTGAATAATAATTATTTATTTATTTTTAAATTTTTTTTTTATAAATCTCAGGAAAACATACCATCCCTGAGGATATGGCGGTTATTGTATATCAGGGCTACATTTGTCGTAATGATAAGGATTGGGAGAAAGCAAATGAGTTCATTCCCGAGAGATTTCTAGATAAAGAGGGAGAGTTCATAACTACCCGTCCAAAAGCGTACATCCCGTTCGGTGTGGGACGACGTGTTTGTCCCGGAGAGAAGTTAGCCATCGCTGACCTCTTCCTAGTTTTGGTCAGATTTCTGCAATCGACTCAAGACTACGATATAGTCCTCGACAGTCATAATGGTATTGATGCCGACCCTAATATAGTCGACGCTTATTCCCCTCCAGAATATAAAATACTATTGAAAATTAAAAGTCAATAACTTATGTTGAAATTATTTAATGAATATCTTTAATATCAACTTCATCATATTTCATTTAATTATTTTTTATTTTCATTAATTATGATTATAATCACAATTGTAAAATACTAACAAAATTATAATAAATTAGAAATCACTAAATTTATAATATTTTAATTAAATATTTAAACTTTTAATTATTGACCTGCTGACATTTTATTCTTGTTAAATCATTAAACAGATG